CGAATCTTGGGAGACCTTAACACCATTGAGAACACGCTGCTTGACAAAACCTCCAGACATGGTTCAACAAGAGAGAATGACTATCTTTACCATCATTGCCAAACCTTTGGTGTCTCTGATGCTTTCCGCTCCCTTACCTGGGAGAGCGTGAATTTACCTTTTTTTCACAGGCGCATCAGGAGAGTTCACGGATTGATCGAGCACTGGTCTCTCAATCCCTGATCCCGCGCCTGGTGACAGCGGAACATGTCTCACCCGAGGAGCCATTCTCTGATCATGGATTCGCCATCCGTGTGGCTCTCAGACTCGTGTCGCAATTGAAGGTGGGGCCAGGAGTCTGGCGTTTCCATCCTTTGCTGCTGGGTAGACCGGGGGCTAAGAAAAGGATCGAGGAAGTGGAGCGATCAGTTGCACAAAGTGGAGGAGGTTTCACAACTCTTATTTCTCGCTTAAACGCCAGGCTAAGGTCATATGCTAAGGAGGAGAGTAAGAGAATACGGGCAACTATCGCTCATCTTACCACGGCGGTGGCTGCACTGCGACAGGAGTTCATGCAAAACCAGAAAGACCAAATGCTGAAGGAGCAGTTGAGGAAGCGAGAGCAGCAACTTAAGGAGTACTTCGCATGTCGGAGGGAAAGGATGAGTACCATGGCGGGGATGGAGCTGGCGCTGTCGGGAGAGGTCCCATCACCGCACCTGTCGGCGAGGATAAAGACGCGGAAAACCAGAACTCAAATAGTAGAAGTAGCAGTTCCTGGAGGGATGGTATCAGAACCAGAGCGGATCTTGGAAGCGGCGTCGAATTACTTCCGTGGCCTTTTTGGGGAGGATAAGCGCACGGAGGTCTCTGACTGGATTCCGGCTGCAGGAAAGAAGCTGATGTTCTCCGACACTGAAATGCTACAAGAGGAGTGGACGGAGAAGGAAGTCAAGTCGGCGTTGCATGAAATGGCGAGCAATAAAACGCCAGGGAAAGACGGATTACCAAAGGAGGTGTTCGAGCTGCATTGGGATACGCTCGGGAAACATGTCATGGGGCTGGTCCGGCAGTTCTGCCTCACCTCTTCGCTTCCGACCAGTGTTAAGGATGCAGTGACGATCCTTCTGCACAAAAAGGGAGCAAAAGAGCAGTTAGAAAATTATCGGCCCATCACACTGCTGAACATCAGCTACAAGATACTGGCGCGGGTCCTGGCGAGCAGGATTAAAAGAGTCCTTCATAAGGTGATCTCGCGGGAGCAGTTTGGTTTTATCCCGGGAAGGCGCATTTCAGACGCGGTGGGGCTGGTTGCTGATGTCATTGATGCGGCTAAGAACGGGAATGAAGACTGGTTCATGCTGCTCGTTGACTTCAAGAAGGCGTTTGATTCAGTGTCCCGGAATTTCATTTTCGAGGTGATGGAGAAAATGGGATTCCCAGCCTGGTATGTTGGTTGGGTGAGAGGCCTACACACGAACACGAGGACGAACCTGTTAATCAATGGCTGGTTGGGCGACGCGGTGGAAGTGCTTTCGGGAGTGAGGCAAGGCTGCCCCTTAGCACCTTACCTTTTTCTCTGTGCGGTGGAACCTTTGGCGCAGAAGGTCATGAAGCGGAAGCTTGGGATTTCTCTCACCAGCTGTGTCGGTCAGAAGCTGGCATACATTGGTTATGCGGACGATACTACCCTCCTCTTGCAGGGGAAACAACAAATCAGCAGGGCAGAGGAGGTGCTGGGGGAATTTAAAAGCATCTCCGGCCTGGAGACGAATGTGGAAAAGTCGGTGGTGATGCCATTGGGAGCTAACCCGGGGAAAAAGACTTGGCGTTCGGATGGATTTCGCTGGGCGGAGGAAAATGAAGCGGAAAGACTCCTCGGGGTATGGGTCACGCCGAGTGGAAGCTGTCAACCAACATGGGATAAAGCGCTGCAGAAAATTGCCGGGAAGATGTCGCTGTGGCAGCCGCAATATCTCCCGATTAAAGCTCGGACAGCGGTGATGGATGGTTACATATTGCCGATCGCGTGTCCCAGGCGCAGGTCTACCCACCACCTGCGCAAACCTGGGGGGTGATCACTAAGATGACACACAACTTCATGTCAGCTAACAAGGCTACATCTGATAATTGTTTTCATCTTTGGAGCTAGGAGCTTCTGTTCACGCCGGTACTGGAAGGAGGAGTGGGGGCGATGAATCCGGAAGTGATGCTCACCTGCTTGACTGCCAGGAGGATAGCGTTGACACTTACGGAGACGGATCAGCTGAAGAGGGACTTGATGCGCCAGGCAGCTGATCTACCGCGGGGTCTAGAAACGTTCACTGCACATGAGAAGCTGCTTAAAACATGGGAGGGGAAGAGCCAGAGATGGATGTTGGCATGTGCAAACTTCATGCGTTCTCCGCTGGCGGAGTCCACGGAAAAGCGTGATACAAAAGAGCTGCTGCTGGAGAGAATTACGTTCAACAGACATATCCTTTTGAATGGTTCCACACCGGTGGGGGGGCAGAAAGCAGTGAAGCGGCTTCACAATGTCAGGTTGGGTGACCTTATCGGGAGAGATACGGAAGGAAGAGGGATGTTGAAAAGCTGTGAAACCCTAGCGAGAGAGCTGAGAGGGAAGGACTCTGCAAAACTTGCGCTCAACGCCTTTGCAGCAGCGCCGGAATCATGGAGAAATCAGCTCCTCTCTGCCGAGCTTCCGAATGTGGGGTTTGCGGAGGAGTTTGAGTTGGGAAGAGGGGGACCTCTGCAACTCCGGATGAAGCTGTTGGCGGAGGGGAGAGCAGTACCACTGAATTCTCTCAAGAGTCACTGGAAACATGGGGACAGCGGAAAGAATAGGCGGGAGAAATGGGCAAGCCGTTGGGGGGACATCATTGACTGGAAGCGGGCAGTTCAAATCCGTGAATCACTTGTCACCCCAAGTCGACCAAGGGATGTTTTACTACGCATTCACTGCCTTAATTACAAGTTGGGGAACGACTGGAATTCCTCAGCAGCAAACCGGTCTGCCCCCACAGTGGAGGTTTTGAGACGTTGGAGCACTGCCTTTTAGAGTGCCCGAGGACTCAGGGGGTGGTTTCGGCGGTCAAAAAAACTCAACCCAATCAGGAAAAGGGACTCACTTGGTGATTGGCTGTTTGGTGAAGCGGGGTCCCTGTCAGCATTTCCAGAGGCGTCGTTGATAGCGATTGCACTTCATCAGCTGTGGGCAGAGAGGTGTGAAGGTGCCTTCAGGGGCTGTGAATTCCGCACGCGGAGAGTTCTGCGGAGGATTGAGTCAGCTTTCCGCATGCATGTGAATGTCTACATCCGTGCCTCGGTGACGAGGATGCAGCAACGAGGGAAAGGTCACCACGCCAGGTGGCAGAAAATGACGAGACAGGAACGTGACCTTCTGGACCGTATTAGGGTGATGGATGGCAAAGGATGGAAGTGGTCCAACAGCTTTGCGGCACTTTGGGGCAAACCACGCAGGCCCCGGATCCATGTCTGAGGAACGGATATCTCTGAGGCGGGCTCTCTCGTCTCTCCTGCACAGTTACGACTGTTATGAGTTGTACACGTGTTCTGTCTAGTGTATAATTCATTAAGAAAAAAAAACAAAAACAAAAGTTCGCTATGGATTACTCTTTGTACATTGATTACGATCAGGGCCCGTGCTAGGTTTTGGGGCATCCTGAGGCCTCAGGGCAACTTTCCAGAATCTGAAAAAATGCCCTGATTTGTAAGGGTAAATTTTCAGAGGCTTCCTGTAGCTTCAGGGCTTCTGCAGAAATTTATCCTGGCCTGTCAGGGCAAAAATACGAGTGTTCAGGGGTTCCGTTTTCAACATTTCTAGTGGCACCAGCATTGTCCTACTCTTTCTAACTAATGCAGGGTAGAGAACACCACCAGACTAGACCAGAGAACACCACCGCTACTCTAACAGAAACACTAGAAGGGTGCATGGATGGCACACGAGAAGACGAGAGTGTTGCCCCTCCCAACCTGTTCCCAATCTGATGGGTTTGGCTGGTGCATGCGGGGGATCGAAACTGTCAAAGGAATCGTGCGAAGGCTGGACAAAGACACGGGGAAAAAATTCCCCGGGAACGGGAATACCTCCCTCCCTCCCCGTTCCCACCCCTCCCCCCAACCCCCCCCACCCCACTAAAAACTCGTCAGGGCATGCCTCAACATCCATCCTAACGGTTTAGGGAAGAACACCACGGGCATTCTGAATGTCCAGGGCATTTCATATAACAACATCCTGAGGCCACAGGATTAAAATTGACAATATTCTGAAATTACAGGGCAAATTTAAAACTGCATCCTGATTTAAGGGTAATCAGGATGTTTTGCCCTGATAACGTGGGGCCTGATTACGATCAATATATATCCTTAACCTTAACCTTAACCTCGCTAGCAGCGGCCCAATAATATGCTTGCTTCAGGACATGTCACAATAGTTTCGTCCGTGTCGGCTCGACAAGTGTCCCTTACACTTGACGTGTCTGATCTACACCACCACAAACCGCTCTAGAACGCAGAAACCCATTCGGACACCTAAAGCATCCTACCCCACCGCTAGTTAGCGGCTCCAGCGTCCTCGGCACTGTTCTCTTGGGAATGATGAAGCTGGAAGCTTGAGAAATGTTGATCCTGCTGCTGCCATCCGCTTTCCCGGCAAGCTTCAGGTTCTAATTCCTATTGATAGAAGACATTGCAAGCTTCTGCTCTCCGGTCGTTATCTCGGTAGATATTCCATAGTCTCTAGCTAAGTGCTATTTCGTCTTGCAGTGCTGTGTGATTGCGGATAAAAGTTTTTGCTATCGTCATCGCCCATATCGCAACGCGTTTCGCCGCGTAATTGGCCACGTATGGCACCAACCGGCGCCGGGTCGTCAGATGCGGACGCAGCAGTCGCAGGAGGTGCGGCGACATGCGAAGCAGCAGTCACGGCAGGGATAGCAGCAGGAGAAACAGAACAAGTAGCAGCAGCGTCAAACGGACCGACGACCGCTGGAGCTAAGATGCCTTTGTCGGCTCCGTGTGCTGTCGCCGGTTCGAGTGAGAAGCCATCGTCGTGTGTCCGCACGAATGGTAACCATCAATCGCCGTGTGCTGGCACGAACGACACTAGAAGTAAAATACAGATGAATCCTCTCGACTGGGCGTATCGCGGCGAAGGTTCCGCGAACATTGTCATGTCTTACTGCGGCCATGATCCATCCCTGGTAGGCCGTCAATATCCTCCACCCCCCTTCCTTTTAAACAAAAAAAAAAGGAGACAATAAGTCAATAGCAATGGTTAGCGTGTTGTTTTTTCCGAAGCGCTTAGAATCGAAAGACGGCTGAAAAGGTCAGCAGGAACAACAACGAGTAAGGTGTCTTACTGCTGCCATAACTCCCCTCGCGTGCGTCTTCAGATTCCCTTACCACTATGTTGTTGATATACCCGTTTCTGGTATTTGATTTCTTTATGCAAAAATCGCATAGCGAATGCACGTTGTTGTTACCATTGAACTGCATACTCGGACGCGGTGTTGAGGGGAAGGGAAGGGGGGGGGGGGGGGGGGGGGGGGGGGGGGGCGGAGCAGTCACAAGGGTGAGTGTGATGGTAAGATCGCGATAATCAGTTTGCTGCCCCTGTGTTCCCCCCCCGCGACTTTTGAGTTGACTTCCGAGGCGCCTCAAAAGCAGTCACAAGGGTGAGCGTGATGGGAGGATGGTGATAATCAGTTTGCTGCCCCTGTGTTCCCCCTTCCCCCCACCTTCGCCCCCTCCCGCCTTTTCACCTAACCCCTAAGGCATGGAGCTGCGCGTGAAAAGGAACGGCCTGATTCTCACCACCACCCTTGCCGCTCACACACGCTCGCTGCTGCCACTGCTTTTGAGGCGCCTCAAAACTCACGCTCGCTGCTGCCACTGCTCCTCTGTTCCTTCTTCCCCCTCCCTCCACTCGCCCCTCTCCCCACCGTTTTCCCCAAACCCGTTCCATCCAGAAAGGCATGGTGCTGCGTGTGTACAAGAAACAACCGGATTGTTGTCACCCTTGTCACTCACACTCGCACCCTCTCCATTCCCTGCTTTCCCAACCCCCCTCGTACCATCAGAAAGGCATGGTGCTGCGCGTGTGCAAGGAACGACCGGATTCCCACCACCCAGGAGCAGAGGTGGTAGCTGGAGAGTCCCTATCCGGAGGTTCGGCAGGATCCTCAGAAGCAGGCTCGGCATCAGGCTCGGCGGCAGGCTCGGTGCAGCCCGAGCCTGTGCTGCGTCCGGAGGAGCGGGAGCTGTGGGGAGAAGTGGTGCCGGAGCTGGCAATGGCTCCGGATCGAATTGACCTGCTTCACCAATACGTGTCTAGGGTCATGGCTCCACTCATAGGAGAAGAGTTTGTGGAGGCAGGGGTGAGTGGTTTACCGTTAGCATGATCTTGTAACTTCCTTTGAGTCGTCTCAAGCTTTGGAGTGGTGCCTTAGCTGGCAGTGGCTCCGGATTGGATCGACCCTGCTGCATCACTACGTTGCTCGGGTCATGGTGTGGCGCCGCTGATTGGAGAGGAGTTTGTGGAAGCAGGGGTGAGTGCTCTAGACTAGAAGATTCCTGAGCCGCCTGTCCTGAGCCGCCTGTCCTGAGCCGCCTGTCCTGAGCCACCTGAAACGGCAACCTGCTGAAATACATTGTCCTGAAATCAATACATTGCTCGGGTCATGACGCCGCTGATAGGAGACGAATTCGTCGAGGCAGGGGTGAGTGCGTTAGCTTTTGAGACGCCTCAATACGAGCTGGTGTATGTGCTAGTAGTGTGTCGGATCGGATCAAACCTCCTGCATCAATACATTGCCTGGGTGATGGTGCCGCTGATAGGAGAAGAGTTTGTGGAGGCAGCGCAGAGTTCTTTGGCTTTTGAAACGCCGCAAAGTACGACGGACTGGTGTGTGAGCTAGCAGTGTGTGTGACTTTTGAGGCGCCTCAAAACGACTTTTGAGGCGAATTTTTAGGCGACTTTTGAAACGCCTCAAAGTACGACGGACTGGTGTGTGAGCTAGCAGTGTGTGTGTGTGTGGCACATCCCATCAACCCGCTGAGCCTTAGGTTGAGCTTGGTGAGCTTTAGCATTAGCAGAACCTCCCTGGAGGCAGGCTCAGGGCGACGTGGATCTGCAGATGCAGAGGAGCTGCTGGTCACGGGTTTCACTCCCTCGCCCTTCCCCCTTCTTTTGCTCTTCCTCCCTGCCTCCCTGCCTCCCTGCCTCCCTGCCTCCCTGCCTCCCTGCCTCCCTGCCTGCCTCCCTGCCTCCCTGCCTGCCCCAACCCTGTCTTTTCCTTCGCCCCTCCCTCATGACGCCCTCCCTGGCGGCAGGCTCAGGGCGACGTGGACCTTCAGATACAAGAGGCGCTGCTGGTGACGGATTTGACCCACCTGCTCACACTCCTCACTCACTCACTGCCTGCCTGCCTGCCTCCCTGCCCCCTCCCTACCCTCAGACGACAGTGATGGTTCCTCGTAGCTTCCTAGAGCAGGTGGCGGATCACATACGGCCAAGGCGGCCCCCCTGGCGGCAGGCTCAGGGCGACGTGGACCTTCAGATAGAAGAGGCGCTGCTGGTGACGGATCTGACCCACCTGCACCTGGAGGACGAGGAGTGGGAGGAGGACTGGGAGGAGACGGTGCGGGAGGATCGACTTGGGTACAACGGCACGACGTTCTGTATTGAGCTCAAGGTGAGACTGTGAGAGGCGCTGCTGCTGGTGACGGATTTGACCCACCTGCACCTGGAGGACGAGGAGTGGGAGGAGGACTGGGAGGAGACGGTGCGGGAGGATCGGCTTGGGAGCTGCAGCGGTTACAATGGCACCACGTTCTGCATCGAGCTCAAGGTGGGTGAGAGGTGCTTTCCAAGATAAACAGGTGGGCTACAGGTGGGCTTCTCAAGGCAACGTGGATTTGCCGATAGATAAGAGGCGCTGCTGGTGACAGATCTGAATCACCTGCACCTGGAGAACGAGGGATGGGAGCTCCTCTGTTTTTTTTTCCCTCTCTTTTCCTCCACCTTCACTCCCTGCTTTACTTCCCCTCCCGCTTCCTCCTCTCCCCTTCCACCCCAACTCCCCCCCCCCTCCCCCCCCCTTCCCCCCCTCCATCTCCCCAGCCCAAGACTGGGTTCTGTTCCTCCTCCCCCTGCATCGCGCCGGCCAATCACGTGAAGACAGCTGTCCCGCGCTTCCCCATGCACCAGCTGAAGCTGTCAGAAGGGGAGGTGGCGGAGAGCAGCGCGTACAACCCTCTAGTCCTCTTATCCTCCTCGCCCCCCTGCGTTCTCTCTGATCTGACGTCATTGGAATGAGACCTCCCCCCCTCTTTTCCCTTTTCCCCTCTTTTTTCCCCTCCCTCCAGCCCAAGACTGGGTTTTGCCCCTCTTCCCCGTGCATTGCACCGGCCAATCACGTGAAGACAGCTGTCGCCCGCTTCCCCATGCACCAGCAGCTGAAGCTGTCAGAAGGGGAGGTGGCAGAGAGCAGCGCATACAACCCTCTAGACCTCTTCTCCTCCTCGCGCCCCCGCGTTCTGTCTGCTCTGAGAACGTTGATCGATAACCCGCAGAACAATCTGAGGATTTTTGCGGATGGGAAGTTGCTGTTGGGGGGGCATATTCACAGGCGGGCGGACAGAGGGAAGGGGAAAAAGGGGAAAGGGAAAGGGGAGAAGGGGGAAATAGTGGGAGAGAAGGTGGAGGTCGAAAGAGTGAATTCTTTGGATTTAGCAGCCTTGAGAAGGGAGGAGAAAGCGCAGGAGGCAGCAGGCTTGGCTGCTGCTGAAGCAGCTCTGGAAGGGTTTGTGTGTGCTGGGAAGGAGGAGCCAAGCAGTAATACCAGCGCAACAGCTGCTGCTGAATGTTCACCAGCGAAAAGTGGTTCTGGTTTACCAGCAGTAGAATCACCACCCTCCGCGCCTCATCTGAGTCACCCTCGGGTTGATGCTCTCTTATCCCTTGCAACAGAGTGCCTCGTGCAGTGCAGGGCGCTGGAGAAGTTGTTGGCAGCACAGAAGCTGGATAAGTGGGATATTGAAGGGACGATTCATGCTTATAATGAGTTTATGAAGCAGAGGAAGTCAACGCTTTCAGCCCCTGCTAGTGGTGGTGGTGGTGCTGCTGCTGCTGCTGGTGCTGCTGAGGTTCCAAAAGAGATCACGGAAGACTGCAGGAAGGTTCTTCGCGATTTCCTCATTGCAGCAACGGCAAAGGACTGTGGTATCATGCTGGCGCTCCGTGCAGCAATCCCTGGGGAGACTCTGGAAGCTTCTCAGAAGCTTCGCAGCGTCGTGTGCCCGTCCAGCTGCCGCAAGTATTTCTACAGGGTAAGCCGACTCTCTTTCTTTCCTCTTATTTGTTTTCTTGCTGATTTAGTAGCGGCTGTTTTTGTTTGTTTTGTTTCTGTATTTTGTGTTTTGTGGCATTTTATTATTATTTTTACTATTATTATTATTATTATTGTTTGTTTGTTAGCTTGCTTGCTTTCTGTCCTGTATGGTATTGGCTTGTTCAGTTTGCAATTGTTCCACTCTTGCGGTCTCCCTTTGCTCCCCCCTCCCCCCCCTCTCCTCCCCCCCTCCCCTTCCCCCTTCTCTCATCCCAGCTCTCCATGAGAAATTCTGTAACAAAAGTTCCGTAGTTCCATTTCCTGGCTGTCCTAGGTGTATCTTTCTCTTACAATAACAAAAGACTACAAAGAAATTCTGTCACATCGTCAACCCTGCCCTCTGCTCCCTCCCCCATCCCCCCCCCTCCCCCCACCTCTATCCCCACCTTTCTTCCCCTTTCCTTATTCCTCTGCATGCAGCTTTCCATAATGGATCTGGACATAAAGCCACTGCGAAAGATGCCCAAGTACTGGAGCATGGACCAGCAAATTGTCAAACACTACTGCTATGTTACAGGTGACGCGAAGGCATAAAAATGGCATGACCTGATGTGTTGTAAAAGCGAATCAACATTTCCACGATGATTATCATTCGTCTGCTAGTGCTGGATTTTTTTGTCTGTTCTGATTGTGTGAAGTTTTTTTTAGGTGGGTTGTCATATTGTAAGCATCTAGGTTCGTGTGACTTCTAGTTAGTGAATTTGCTATTTGGATTCGGATGCGGTTCGCGATATACGCAGTGCCTGTGCCTGGCTCTCGATGGCACTGGAAGAAAGGGCTTGAAGCGAAGCGAAGTGTCACATGAAAGCGGGGAAGGATTTGGAATTCACTGGAGCATGCGACGGGAGTTGCGGCCAATTCCTGATTCGTTCCCTGCACGTCCTGGCTCAGTGACGTCGCACACAAGTCGCAGAATGACTGGAGCTCCAAGGGGCTGCACGAACGGGCAGCAGGGTTGAGAAAAGAATCTCCGAAAGTGGGTGGGGGGATTTCAACGTTTCGTGAGTGGATGGACTAAGTTACACCGGCAATCCCGAAGCTTGTCGTCGTCGGAATCCTGTGTCGATGCACTTCGCGGTTAGTCGTTCATTTTCGTCAGCGATCTGCTCTTGTTATGTGAACCCGTGGTTACTTGGCCGTGCTCCACAAGTTAATTTTCACACAAACTCCTCAAACCGTTCGAGATGCATTCTTGAGCGCTATAGAGCGTACAGAACCAAAACAAACCGTGCTGATTTAGGAACACCTTATTGGCCGCTTCACACTCGATTGGTACAACGAACAACTCGCGACGAAGCATCAGTAGTGTGCCTGACGTGTCCGTCAAAAGTGTTAGTGAACCGCCATTTTACGCCATAGTGCCTTCACTATTCACCAAGCAAGCTGCTGTACATAGGTTGAAAGCCATGTCTTCACCGTTTCCTGAAGCAACCGCGCATGGGCATAGATTGAACGGTGATCCGTCGCTGCTTTCACGGTGATCAGGGTTTCACACTGGTGATCCCCGGAGAGCGAACGAGCTTGCGGAAGAGGAGATAGTTGCGATATATAGTCGTCTCCCACGACACGTAGGAGCGCTTCTAACGGCAATACTGACATATAGTTGCGATTTCTTGTAACAGATTTTCCGACGCGTTATTATTCTGGAGCCATGAACAGCTGGCGTCATTGTCGCGATGACATCAGGCGTGTATTCAACGTAGCTTTAGCACTGACTCAGGAGCACGCACGCACTCCATGACTCAGCATCCCATTGCGATTAATAACACCGAAGCGCCTGCTCCACATTTGATTGCATGTAACTCAGCGATCGAGACTCAGCATCTCGTTGCGTCTGACTCTGTTTCTGAAAGGGCCATTCACAATGGCATATTACAAGGCATATTTATGTAGTTTTCCTAGCGAAAGAACCACTTTGACAAGTGGCAATGACAAGAGAGTGCCTACGCCTAATAGAGGCTTGACACGTATACAACGACAGCACTCACAGTAACCATGCCGTTATTAACGCTCGTTACCAGCAGCAGTTGTTAACATTATATCGTGACTGACTCCTAACCCTAGCTAGTGTAGTCTAACATTACCAATCCATCCCCGTTAAGGAGCACCAGACTGCTCGCCAACAACGCGACGCATTATTCTTCTCGCAAAGCAAGTAGTTACGCCTTTAGGATCCTATTCGAGCTGCCATGTCGAAGAATAAACCACCCGCGCCGCTTATCTCATCCTTAAAGCCTGGACTACCCCCGCCGCATCCAACGGCTTCGTCAGGCCGACTGCAGCGCGCTCACAGCGATGCTGCGAAGCGGGTTCAGTTCGCGACAGCTGGCATGTCGCCATTGGAGGAACAGCTACACGGAGCCGGCGCTGCTAGTCATGCCACGTCGACTGCAGACAGCCAAAGTGAGTTCGGTTTCGTTTTAGTTAGAGAGGAATGGCATTACTCCCTTTCCTCCCCGGCTCTTGGTAGAGAGGAACGACGCTACTTCCCTCTCTACCTCCCCACTTTTGTGAATTCTCAAAAGCAGACAGCCTGAATGAGTTCGGTTTCGTTTTGGTTAAAGAGGAATGACGTTACTTCCCTCTCTACCTCCCCACTTTTGTGAATTCTCAAAAGCAGACAGCCAGAGTGAGTTCGGTTTTCTCTTGGTTAGGGAGGAACGACGTTACTCCTCTCCCTCCCCAGCTCTCCCCATCCTGAGCCATCCACTCCTTGTTCTTTGTGGTTCATTTTCATTTTGAAACTGCTTAGTGAAACTCCTTTGTAAGTAGTCCATAGTCGTTTCTGAACTGCTTCATAAGTGGTTCGTTTTTTTTTCTCTCAACTTTTTCACCCGATATTTTTACTGCCTCCGCTTTCATCCCTCCTCATTGCATCATGGCATGGCATGGTTTGGCATGTTATGGCATGGCATGGCATGGCATAACATGCAACTGAACGGAATGGCATGGCATGGCATGACAGGGGACATTGGGTCGTCAGGCGGGCTGAGGCGCACACAGACGCTCGACTCGCACTCCTTGTATCCCGACCTTGATAAGATCATGGGTGCGTGCTGCTGGCACTGGTGCTCGGGTTGAATGGAATGGTGGGAAATTCGGGTTTGTTTGGGCGGAAGAGGGGTTGCGTGGGGCACAAATGGGGCGCACACAGACGCTCGACGCACACAGACACTCGACTTGCACTCCTTGTATCCCGACCTGGTTAAGATCATGGGTGCGTGCACGTGTTGTACGGAACGGTGGGGAAGAGGGGGTTATCTGGGCGTTAATAGAAGGCTGCTTGGGTACAGGAAGGGGGTTGTTGGGCCGAGCTGAGGCGCACACAGACACTCGACTCGCACTCCAGGAAGGGGGTTGTATTCCGACCTCGATAAGATCATGGGTGCGCGCTGCTGGTTTGTTGCACTCGTGCACGGGTTAGGTTGTATGAGTGGGGTTGCTATGGCTCACTCAAACTCTCAAATCTCGCCCTCAGCTCAGACTCTTCTTGTATCCCGACCATGGGTGTGTCTGAGTAGCACACTCCTTGTATCCCGACCTAGGGTAGACCATGGGTGTGTGCTGCTTACACTCTGCACGGGTTACGGACAAGATCAGACAAGATCAGACAAGATCAAAGAGGCGGCGGACGTTCGAGTTTTGAGTCGACTCAAACCTACGTTCTGCACGGGTTACTGGACAAGATCAAACAAGATCAGACAAGATCAAAGAGGCGGCGGACGTTCGAGTTTTGAGTCGACTCAAACCTACATTCTGCACGGGTTACTGGACAAGATCAAACAAGATCAGACAAGATCAAAGAGGCGGCGGACGTTCGAGTTTTGAGTCGACTCAAACCTACATTCTGCACGGGTTACTGGACAAGATCAAACAAGATCAGACAAGATCAAAGAGGCGGCGGACGTTCGAGTTTTGAGTCGACTCAAACCTACATTCTGCACGGGTTACTGGACAAGATCAAACAAGATCAGACAAGATCAAAGAGGCGGCGGACGTTCGAGTTTTGAGTCGACTCAAACCTACATTCTGCACGGGTTACTGGACAAGATCAAACAAGATCAGACAAGATCAAAGAGGCGGCGGACGTTCGAGTTCTGAGCCGACTCAAACCTACATTCTGCACGGGCTACTGGACAAGATCAAACAAGATCAGACAAGATCAAAGAGGCGGCGGACGTTCGAGTTTTGAGTCGACTCAAACCTACATTCTGCACGGGTTACTGGACAAGATCAAACAAGATCAGACAAGATCAAAGAGGCGGCGGACGTTCGAGTTTTGAGTCGACTCAAACCTACATTCTGCACGGGCTACTGGACAAGATCAAACAAGATCAGACAAGATCAAAGAGGCGGCGGACGTTCGAGTTTTGAGTCGACTCAAACCTACATTCTGCACGGGCTACTGGACAAGATCAAACAAGATCAGACAAGATCAAAGAGGCGGCGGACGTTCGAGTTTTGAGCCGACTCAAACCTACATTCTGCACGGGTTACTGGACAAGATCAAACAAGATCAGACAAGATCAAAGAGGCGGCGGACGTTCGAGTTTTGAGTCAACTCAAACCTACATTCTGCACGGGTTACTGGACAAGATCAAACAAGATCAGACAAGATCAAAGAGGCGGCGGACGTTCGAGTTCTGAGCCGACTCAAAACTACACTCTGCACGGCACGGGACTTGCACTCTGCACGGGTTACTGGACGAGATCAGACAAGATCAGACTAGATCAAAGAGGCGGCAGACGTATGGGCGAGCACTGACTCCTCCTCCCTCCCTGGTGTCTGTTTCGCCTGTGTAAGCATCACAGGCGCAGGGAAACAGAACAAGGCGTGATTTGGGTCGACAAAAAAAGAACTGACACTTTTTCCACCCCTCCCTGGTCCCTAAATCGCCCACGTATGCGTCATAGGAGCAGAGGAAACGGAACAAGGCGTGAATTTCTGGAAGGCTCAGTCCACGAGCTTGGAGGTGCGGATAAAGGAAGCGGAGGACGCTCGGGCGAGCACTGACGCGTCCTCCCTCCTCCCTCCCTGCTCTTTTTTTCGCCCTCGTATGCATCATAGGGCGCAGAGGAAATGGAGCAAGGCGTGTTTCGAGTCGACTAAAAGATTTGACTCTTCCTCCACCCTCCCTCCCTGGTCCCTTTTCGCCCATGTATGCATCATAGGCGCAGAGGAAACGGAACAAGGCGTAGATTTCTGGAAGGTTCGCTCCACGAGCCTGGATGTGCGGACAAAGGAAGCAGAGGACGCTTGGGCAGACACTGACAGGCGCACCTCCTTTCGTCCCTCTCATTTGCCTTCCCCTACATGGTGTATAAAGGTTCAGAGGAGAAGGAGCAGGGGGTGGATTTTTGGAAGGTTCGGTCCACGAGCCTGGAGGTTCGGATCAAAGAAGCGGAGGACGCTCGGGCGAGCATCACTGCCCAGGCTGTGGCTCTGGCACAACGCAACCAGGAGCTGACGAGCAGACTGAGGCAGTTTCAAGAGGAGGTGAGGAGAGAGGAAAAGGGGGGAGAGGGGATTTGGAGAGAGGAGGGTGAGAGAGCAGCGAGCATCAGTGCCCAGGCCGTCTGCGCGTAACCAGGAGCTGACGACTAGACTGAGGCAGTTTCAAGAGGAGGTGAGGACGGGGATGGGGGCTAGTGGGGGAACGGGAGGGCGGGGAGGAGTGTGGCCGAGGGGCGAGCATCACTTTTGAGGTGCCTCAAAAGAGGGACGAGCATCACTGCCCAGGCTGTGGCTCTGGCTGCTTGCAATCAGGAGCTAACGAGCAGACTGAGGCAGTTTCAAGAGGAGTTGAGGAAGGGGGAATGGACCAAGTAAAGGGGGGAATTGGAGGTGGGAAAACGCACGAGCGAGCATCACTGCGCAGGCTGTGGCTCTGGCTACGCGGAATTTGGAGCTCACGACGAGGCTTAGACAGATAGCGGAAGAGGTGAGGATGGACGAAGAGGTGAGGATGGGGGAAGGAAAGGTGTGGTGTTGAAGTCCAACACCAGGTGTGGTGATCTGGAGGATTTGAAGGCACTCTAGGGCTGGATTTGGGTGGGAACGTCAACACTGTATCCCGCCTCCTGCATATACACCTCCCCCTTCCTCCCGCTCCCCATCCCCCTCACCCCTCCTCTCACAGGGCGACACAGCCGCCTTTGCAGCTTTCGAACAGCAGCTGACAGACATCAAGCTGCGCCTCGACCGCACCCTCCCCTCCACGAATGCTCCTCCCTCGCCTCAAACCCTATATGCTCCCATTCCCCTTCCACAGGGCGACACAGCAGCCTTTGCAGCCCTAGAGCAGCAGCTCACAGACGTGAAGCTCTGTGTGTCCCTCTCATATACAATACACCTCTCCTCCCCCACTCCCCCACTCCCCCACAGGGCGACACAGCGGCGTTTGCAGCCCTGGAGCAGCAGCTCACAGACGTCAAGCTGCGCCTCGACCGCGCCCTCCACGAATGCTCTCCACTCACCCCCTTCCCCTCGCCCCCTGCCCTGTGCTACCTGCTCTATGTGTCCCCATTCCCCTTCCACAGGGCGACACAGCGGCGTTTGCAGCCCTGGAGCAGCAGCTCACAGACGTCAAGCTCCGCCTAGACCGCGCCCTCCACGAATGCTCCTCCCTCGCTGGCACCAGCAGCGGCAGGGCAGCGCTGGGAGGAGCGCTAGGCCTGGATCCCTCTGGAAACATCACCATGCGTATTGATAATAATCTGAACAGCAGCAGTGGGGGGGGTTTGGCTGCGTTGGGGTTAGGGTTAGGGTCTGCTAGAAGGATGGGCGCCGGGAGTTTTTTTCCCGATGCTGCCGGGGCTGCTGGGGGGGGAGCGGGGCGCGTGGAGGGGAAAGGAGGCGGAAAAGGAGGAGGGGGGATGGGCGGGGCGAGTGACGGGTTGAATCTTCAGGTGGCTTTGGAAAGGGCGCCTTTTATGATTGCGCACCTGGACACGAGCCTGAGATACACCTGGGTGTTCAACCACAACCTGCTGGTCAATCAGGTGAGAACAACAGAGCTCAGGTGAATCTTCAGGTGGCGTTGGAGAGGGCGCCGTTTATGATTGCGCACCTGGACACGAGCCTGAGATACACCTGTGTGTTCAACCACAACCTGCCGGTCAATCAGGTGAGAAGAACAGAGGTCAGGTGAATCTTCAGGTGGCTTTGGAAAGGGCGCCCTTTATGTTCGCTGGATATGAGTTTGAGATACACCTGGGTGTTCAACCACAACCTGCTGCTCAATCAGGTAAGCACAACAGAGGCCAGGTGGGGACAACAGAGCGCAGGTGAGTACGCTGCCATGCCATCCCAGATCGGCTTGATGCGGGCACTGCCCGCCCGGTAGTATCCAATCCAAGTGCTTGCATTTGATTGATTCGATTGTCTCTGAGGTGCTTACAGAAATGGTCAGGTCAGGACACAAGTAGTTGGCGAGTATTGCTTAACAACTTGGTATGGTGAGTAGTTGGTTGGCAATGTGTTTCAGAAGAGGGACCAGGCCACGCAGAGTGCTGGATCAAAGAGCATTGAGGTGTATTTTGAGGCGCCTCAAAATACACGCAGAGCGCTGGATCAACCGCTCAATCCCTGCAACTTCCCACTTCTCTTACAGTCCTTCCCTCCCCTCGCCTCTACTCGCCCCATCCAGCCCCCCAAACCCCCCATCTCCCCTTTCGCTCCAACTCCCGTTCCCCCAATTCCTCCCCTGGCTTGCTCCCCATCCCCTCCATCCAATCAGGACATGATAGGCAAGAGGGATGGCTATGTTGAGTTTACTTTTGAGAATTCTCAAAAGTAAGCTCAACATAAGAGGGACTGTGACACCCTGCCACGTGGCACACTGCGAGTGGAGGAGGCGATGGAGATCAAGCAGAGGGCTCGATCAGCCCACTGCTCTTACACTCCTCCCCTCTTCCCGCCTTCCTCCTGACTCTGCTCACCCTTCCCAACCCCTCCCAACCCCGCTTCCTCCCCCTCTCCCTCCCCCTTCCCCCCCTTCCCAACTCCCCGTTTCCCCCAACTCCCGTTCCCCCATTCCCCCTCCATCCAATCAGGATATGATAGGCAAGAGGGACTATGACATCCTGCCACGTGGCACTCTGGGAGTGGAGGAGGCGATGGAGATCAAGCAGCGGGCGCTGGCCACAGGCAAGGCACAGCGGGGCGAGGTGGTGTGGCAGCTTCCTGGAAGGTCCCCCATGGTGTGGGTGACGACTGCCCGGCCAATCAGGGATGAGAAGGGGCGGACTGTGGGGGTGACTACATCGAGCGTGGATATAACAGAAGAGGTATTTTACCAAGAAGGGAGAGAGCCAGTGGGGGCAGGGGGGGGGGGGGGGGGGGGGGGGGGGGGGGGGGTTGTATGTACATACACCCCCCCCCCCCCCCCCATATATATTCCCCATCCTCCTTGTATGTACTGTGTGTGAGCAAGGCATTCATGGTGTGGGGGTGATGACTGCTGAGTTGACTTTTGAGTCAACTCAAAAGTCAACGAGGAGGATGGGGAATATCTATTTGTATGTACTGTGTGTGAGCGAGAGACATTCATGGTGTGGAGGTGATGACTGCTGAGTTAACTTTTGAGTCAACTCAAAAGTCAACAAGGAGGATGGGGAATATCTATTTGTATGTACTGTGTGTGAGTGAGACATTCATGGTGTGGAGGTGATGACTGCTGAGTTGAATTTTGAGTCGACTCAAAAGTCAACAAGGGGGATGGGGAATATCTGTGTATAAAGTGAATTTTTTATTCAAAAATTCACTTTATACACGCGGCTTCTGTTTGTATGTACTGTGTGTGAGCGAGACATCCATGGTGTGGAGGTAATGACTGCTCAGCCTCTCAGGGACAGGAAGGGGCGGATTGTTGGAGTGACTACAAAAAGCGTGGATATAACAAAAGCGTGGATATAATATAACAAAAGCGTGGATATAATACAACAAAAGCGTGGATATAATATAACAAAGTGACTAGCTCCCCCCATCCCCTCTCCCCCTCTTCTCCCCTCCTCCACCCATCTCTCCCCGCCCTCCCCGCTCTCCCCCCCTTCCCCCTCCCCCAGGCGCAGTACAAGGAGCGGCTGATGGCCCTAAGAGCCGAGATGATGGTGCGCAGCACAACGGAGAAGGAGCTGCTCTCTCCCTCCCCTCCCCACTCCTTTCCCCCTGTATTCCCACTCTGCTACCCACTCCACCCCCCCACCCCCCCCTCCCAAACCAGGCGCAGTACAAGGAGCGGCTGATGGCTTTAAGAGCCGAGATGATGGTGCGCAGCACAACGGAGAAGGAGCTGCGGCGCGCATACGAGCTCACAGAGGATGCCATGCGCGCCAAGTCCATGTTCCTCGCCATCATGTCCCATGAGATCCGCACGCCCCTCAACGGGATCCTCGGATTGGCCGAAGTTCTGCTCGAATCTGGAGCGTTGGATGAGGAGCAGCGCGAGATCGTGGAGACGATGATGTCTTCGGGCGTGATCATATCGGATATTCTCGCAGATATTCTAGATCTCGCGAGTATGGAGGCTGGGGAGATGAAGCTGGAGGAGCATCCCTTTGAGCCCGTCGCGGTGGTGAATCATATCTTGAAAATGGCCATGGCTGCGACTAAGGAGAAGGGGATAAAAGTCCTAGCAGATATTTCCCCGGATATCCCGACGCAGATTATAGGAGACGAGCTGCGCGTGCGGCAGGTGATTAAGTACCTGGTTTTGAATGCGATTAAGTTCACGCACACGGGGCATATCTTGCTGCGGGTGTCGGCACATGATAGGGATCCCTCTGCTGCTATCGTGAAGGCTACTGGCGCGTATGCTGTGGGGGGGTGGAACGTTCCGGGAGGTGGAGGAGCAGGAGGAGGAGGAGCGGGTGGGTTTGGTGCTGCTGCTACCTTAGGCCGCGGGAAAGGGCTCGCTGTGGAGATGCATAGTCATAACAAGGGCGCGAGAGGAGGGGGAAGCGGTCGGTTACCGCTGTTGTCAGATGTTACGGAGGAGCATTTGAAGAAGCTGGCTAGTCTGGGGAGTTTGGAGCAGGCAGCGCCGCTATTGGCTGAGCTTCCGACAGAGGAGTATGAGGAGGAAGAGGAGGAGGAAGATGGGGATAGCGAGAGGACGAGAGGGGAGGAGGAGGGAGGGATGCTGAGACCTGGAGGGGGAGGAGCAGGGGGGGGATTCTGGGGGTCAATCGTACCCACAGGGGGGGCAGAGAAGGGGAAGGGGAAGGCGGCAGCAGTGGAGAGGCAGATAGGCGGGGATATGGACGTGTGGCTGTGGTGCGAGGTCCACGACACAGGCGTGGGGATCCCCAAAGACGCGTTCCTTCTCCTCTTTGAGAAATTCACCCAGGTGGAGGGCGGCCCGACAAGAGCCTACGGAGGCACCGGGCTGGGCTTAGCTATTTGCAAGCAGCTGGTAGAGCTGATGCATGGGAAGATGGCGATTAAATCGAAGGTCGGGACCGGGTCGGTGTTTGCGTTTTCCGTGTGCTGCCAGCGGACTACTCCCCGCTCCCGCCCTGCGTCCCCCACGGGTGCGAGCGCGATCGCTGCGGCTGTGAACGCGCCGTTCGGGTTTCCAAAGAGTGTGTCTCTGTCGGGGCCTTCCCCTGGGTCGGTGGCTCGGGCGCTGTCTCCTGTGAGGGAGCATATGGGGCAGGTGGGGGGCGGAAGAGGGGAGGGAGAGGAGGAGTATACAGAGGAGGAGGAAGAGGAGGAGGAGGGGGATTATGAGAGCGAGTATACAAATGACTCGCCGATTGCCATCACGCCGAAGCACCTGCGGCAACCACGGGGAGCAGCAGGAGCAGGAGCAGGAGCAGGAGCGGGAGGGGGAGCAGGGGGGGCGGGAGCAGGGGTGGTGGGAGGGGGGTTGGCGGGGCTGCTGGCAAGAGCCAAGGCGATGAAAGGGGAGGTGGGCGGGTCGGGGGAGGGGCTGCCTGGGGGAGGTACATCTGGTGCAGGCGCATCGGCGGGTGCTCCTGGGTCGCTGCCTTCCCTGTCCCCTGCTTCTGCTAAGGGCCCAGATACGAAGATCCTGGTGGCTGAAGACAACCCTGTGAGTGTTGCGGTGGGGTGGGGTGTGGTGGAGTGAGGAGGGATGGGGTGGGGTGAGCCCGGTGGGGTGTGTATAGGGAGGCTGGGAGGCACTTTTGAGAAATTTCAAAAGGGATACTGGGAGGAAGATACTGGTTCGCTTTTTTGAGAATTCTCAAAAAACATACAAAAGGGATACTGGTTCGCTTTTTTGAGAATTCTCAAAAAACATACAAAAGGGATACTGGTTCGCTTTTTTGAGAATTCTCAAAAAACATACAAAAGGGATACTGGTTCGCTTTTTTTAGAATTCTCATAAAACATACAAAAGGGATACTGGTTCGCTTTTTTGAGAATTCTCAAAAAACATACAAAAGGGATACTGGTTCGCTTTTTTTAGAATTCTCAAAAAACATACAAAAGGGATACTGGTTCGCTTTTTGAGAATGCTCAAAAAACATACAAAAGGGATACTGGTTCGCTTTTTTGAGAATTCTCAAAAAACATACAAAAGGGATACTGGTTCGCTTTTTTGAGAATTCTCAAAAAACATACAAAAGGGATACTGGTTCGCTGCCGTCTCTGTCCCCCGCACCGGCCAAGCGCCTAGAGACGAAGATCCTGGTGGCTGAAGACAACCCCGTGAGTGCTGAGGTTCTGTTTGGGTTGTGGGGTGGGGTGGTGGGAGGGGGGTTGGCGGGGCTGCTAGCCCGAGCCAAGGCGATGAAATGGGAGGTGGGGGGGGGTTATCTGGGGGAGGCGCATCTGGGGCGGGCGCCATAGGAGGAGCTGGGTCGGTGCCTTCTCTGTCCCCCGCTTCTGCAAAGGGTCCTGAGACGAAGATTCTTGTTGCTGAAGACAACCCCGTGAGTGCGGTGGTTATGGTGGGGTGGGGTGGGGTGGGGTGGGGTGGGGTGGGGTGGGGGTGGATGATCTCTTTGGGGTGTGTGTACGAGGTACATCTGGTGCAGGTGTCATAGGAGGTGCTGGGTCGGTGCATCAGCCCGCATCAGCCTAAGGCCCAGAGGCGAAGATCCTGGTGGCTGAAGACAACCCTCTGAGTGTGGGGGGTTATGGTGTTGCGGTGGGTTGGTTGGTGGAATGGGATGGGCTGGGGTGGGGTGGGGTGGGGTGGGGTGGGGCGGGGTGAGCCCAGAGGCGAAGATCCTGGTGGCTGAAGACAACCCTCTGAGTGTTGGAACATTCATCTAAGCCTGCACGCATCACATTTCATCTAAGCCTGCACGCATCACATTTCATCTAAGCCTGCACGCCCCCCGTCGGATTTCACTGCAGGTGCACGTTATGGTGCTGCTCACCATGCCTTCTCCTGATCTCCCTTTTGAGGCGCCTCAAAAGCACGCATCACATTTCATCTAAGCCTGCACGCCTCCCGTCGGATTTCACTGCAGGTGCACGTTATGGTGCTGCTCACCATGCCTTCTCCTGATCTCCCCCCTTCACTTCCCCTTCAATCTCACCCCAGGTGAACGTGATGGTGCTGCTCTCCATGCTCTCAAGCGCCTGGGGCTGCGAGCCCCAGTGCATGTGGTGGTGGTGCTGCCCCCTTAACGCAGTATATTTCACCTCATTATCGCTGCTCTACTCCCCACTCCCTTACCAACTGCCTGCAGGTGAATGCGATGGTGCTGCTGTCCATGCCCAAGCGCCTGGGCCTGCGAATGTGATGATGATGATGATCCCGATAACAACTCTTCTCCCCACTCCCTTACCAACCGCAGGTGAACGTGATGGTGCTGCTCTCCATGCTCAAGCGCCTGGGGCTGCGAGCCACAGTGGCCAAGAACGGAGTGGAGGCGTTGGAAGCGGTGAGGAGGGAGCGGTTTGACCTGCTGCTGTCAGACCTTTGCATGCCGCTCATGGATGGGCTCCAGGTGGGTGTTGACTTCGGTTGACTTGGGTTGACTTTTGCTGACTCCTTGTTGACTCGTATTGAGGGTTGTTAAGGACACAGGCGGTGAGGAGGTTGCGGTTTGACCAGCTACTGTTGGACCTCTGCATGCCGCTCATAGATGGGCTGCAGGTACGCGTTGACTCCGATTGACTCTTGTTTACTTTTGTTGAATAGGGCAACCCATGCCATACCCAACCCACACCCCACCCAACCACAGGCGGCCTACCTGATTCGGCAGTATGAGCACACGGGGGTGTGTCCAGAGGAAGAGGTGGCACAAGGCCAGTTAGGCTGACTTGTTGGCCCTGCCCTGCCCTGCCCTGCCCTGCCCTGCCCTGCCCTGCCCTGCCCTGCCCTGCCCTGCCCTGCCCTGCCCTGCCCTGCCCTGCCCTGCCCTGCCCTGCCCTGCCCTGCCCTGCCCTGCCCTGCCCTGCCCTGCCCTGCCCTGCCCTGCCCTGCCCTGCCCTGCCCTGCCCTGCCCTGCCCTGCCCTGCCCTGCCCTGCCCTGCCCTGCCCTGCCCTGCCCTGCCCTGCCCTGCCCTGCCCTGCCCTGCCCTGCCCTGCCCTGCCCTGCCCTGCCCTGCCCTGCCCTGCCCTGCCCTGCCCTGCCCTGCCCTGCCCTGCCCTGCCCTGCCCTGCCCTGCCCTGCCCTGCCCTGCCCTGCCCTGCCCTGCCCTGCCCTGCCCTGCCCTGCCCTGCCCTGCCCTGCCCTGCCCTGCCCTGCCCTGCCCTGCCCTTCCCTTCCCACACCACACCCAAACCCACCAGGCGGCCTACCTCATTCGGCAGTATGAGCGCACGGGCGTGTTTCCAGAGGAGGAGGTGGAGCGAGCAAAGCACAGGGGAGCGCCGGCAGGGGATGAGAAATCCGGAGTTGCCTGGCAGCCCCCCTCCAACGTCCCCCTCTCCTCCCACCGAGGGGCCCTCCCCCGCCTCCCCATCGTAGCCGTTACCGCAAACGCTCTTAAGGAGGATGAAGAGCGGTGCTATGCGGTTGGGATGGACGGGTTTCTGGGGAAACCGGTGCAGTTTCCAAAGCTGAAGGAAGCGATTTCTGAGTTTATAGAACTCCCCGGGTCACGATTGCTGCCAGGAGCTGGGAGTGGAGTGGGTGGGGGGGTTGGGAGAGGGGGAATTGGGCAATCTAACCCCCCTTCAGGGGCAACAGGAGGGTTAGTATCCATGGGGAGCGGGGTAGCAGCACTCCTAGCAGGTATCCCCCCACAAGCTGCCGCCCCCAGCTTCCCAGCCCCGTCCAAGCTCTCGGGCGGCGTCCAGCGTCTCGTAGTGCCCGCCCGGCCGAGCAGTTACAGTGGATCGGGATCGGTGAGTGGGAGCATGACCTACACAGGGGATGAGGAGGATTATCAAGGTGAAGAGGGGGAATTCGATGATGATTACGATGAGGAATATGATGATTACGAGTCGACTGTATATTCGCCTAGGTCTGCAGCGGTTAAGCGCGGTGCTAGGACTCCAGGAGGGGCCAGCACTGCTAGAACCCCGGGGGGTGCTAGTGTGGCTAGGACCCCGGGAACTACTAGAAGCTTCCGCACGTCGATGTTTTACGATGGGAGGGAGGATAGGAGCGTGCATAATGGTGCGGAGAGTGTGTATGGGGGTGCGGCTAGTAGCGTGGGGGGATATAGTCGTGCCACAGGTGTTACGGGTGTTACTGGTGTTACAGGAATAACGGGAGTGACTGGTGTGACTGGGACGACGAGGGGTGGGAGGAGGAGGGGAATGTCGAGAGAGGAGGCAGCAGCAAGAGAATCGGCAATGAGAGAGGCTTATAACCGGTACTTTCTGAATGCCGGTCTGCCTCCCACCACTGCTGCTGCGGCCGCGGCAGCGGCAGTAGCGGCAGCAGCAACTGCTGCTGCTCGTGCTGGTAACGGTGGTGGTGCTGAGTCGTCATACGTTTCTGGGAGGTCTTCTGGCGATGAGCTTTCGATCTATTCAAAAACAACTGGAGGGACCGGGAGGGGAGGGAGGGGAGGCATGGGCACGGCAACAGGCACGAGCAGCACTGGGACAGGTTCGGAGAGTGGGACCGAGACCGGGACTGGCTCGGATTTAGGTTCGGAAACAGGTACGGGAACGACTGATTTTCATGCACAGAGGGTGGTGACGTTGCGAGGGGGGACTGCACCTGCGGTAGGGGGGATGGGAGGAGGGATGGGAGGGTTGAGAGGAGCGGGAGGGGCAGGGTTAGCAGCAGGAGGAGGAGGAGCAGGAGTAGGGGGGCTAACAGGGGCAACTGCTGCCAATATAGCAGCACTGCGCTATCTTACTGCCCGTGCTGCAGGTAACACTGGGGTAGGTGGAACTAGGTTGGGAGGTTTAACAGGGGCTGGTAACCCTGCAGGGGCAGCTGGTACAGGATATAATTTGGGTAATAACCCTTACCCGTATAGGGGTACGGGTGCGGGAATGGGAGGGCCGGGTTCTATAGGGGGGAGTTCTCTGTCGTCTTTTTCTAACCCACAGAGGAATTTGGCACAAGGAGGGAGGCTTTTAGGAGGGAATTTGGCTTATAACGGAGGTGGTTATAATGCAGCGTTGGGTGGTGGGGCGGGTGTTGGGGGAGTGGGAGGGGCAGGAGGCTTGGGCGGAGGTTTGGCAGGAGGGTTGGCAGGAGGGTTGGGAGGAGGTGTGGGAGGAGGTTTGGCAGGTGGTTTGGGAGGAGTGGGAGGAAGAATGGGGGGAGGGTTGGGTGGGACAGGTGGGATGGGTGGACTTGGGGGTTCGTCCTTTCAGCAGCAGCAGCAGCAGCAGCAGCTACAGCAGCAGCAGCAGCAACAGCAGCAACAGCAGCAGTTGTTGAGTAGCTATGGAGGTTTGGGAGGGGCAGGAGCAGGAGCATGCTTGGCAGGAGGGTTGGGAGGAGGGATGGGAGCAGGAGGGACGGGAGGAGGGATGGGAGCAGGAGGAGCAGCAGGGTTTGGAGTGGGCAGCACGAGCAGCAGCAGCATGCATCCCGGGGCAATGCAAGGGGCACGAGCAGGGGCAACACTCCCTCCTACCGCTGCCGCTGCTGCTGCTGCTGCTGCTGTGGCTGCGGGTAGGAGGAGGCCTATAGCGAGTGCTACTGTAGCGGGTAACGGTGGTGCTTTTCTGAGGCAAAACGTGGGCACAGGTGGCAATGCTGTTGCTGCTGCTGCTGCTGCTGCTGCTGGCGCTGGTGTTGGTGGTGACGGTGCTGCTGGTGGTGGCTTCGGTGGTATTGGTGGTGGAGGGGCGAATGGTATTGGGGCAGGTGGGGCAGGTGGGCTTGGGGTAGGTAGTATTGGGGCAGGTGGATTAGGAGGAGGTGGGTTTGCTGGCCAGGCAGCTGGTGGGCTGGCAGGAGGAGCACCAGGTGGAATTTCAGGTGGGAATCTGGTCCCTCCGCCCCCTGCAGGGGCCACTCAGGCGCAGCAGCTACAGTACCTGATTCAGCAGCAGCAAATGTTGCTAGCTCAGACACATGCTCAGATACAAGCAAGGCAGCAGCAGCAGCAACAGCTGCAACAGCAACAGCAGTTGCAGCAGCAGCGGCAGCAGCTGCAGCAACAGCAGCAGCAATTGCTGGCAGCAGGAGGGTTGGGGAGGAATTTCGGGGGAGGCATGGCTGGTGGCGCGGGGTTAAGTGCTGGTGGTGTGGGAACGATGGGGTTAAGTGTCGGTGGCGTGGGAAATTTGGGGTTAAGTGCTGGTGGTGTGGGAGGTATGGGGTTAAATGGCGGTGGGCTAAGTGCTGCTGGTATGGGTGCTGGTGTTGGGGGGCTGGGGGGAGGTTTGATGAATCGAGGAGGAATGGGATTGGCAGGTTTGGGAGGAGCAGGTTTGGGAGGAGCAGGTTTGGGAGCAGCAGGCTTGGGAGCAGCAGGCTTGGGAGCAGCAGGCTTGGGAGCAAGAACTGGAGCGTTGGGGATAGGAGGGATGGGGGGAGCTGGCTCTCTAGCAGCATTAGGGCTAGGAGGAGGAGGAGGAGGAGGAGGGCAGATACAAAGCGGAATTCAAGGAGTGGGAGGGATAGGGGACACAGGAAGAGGAGGAATAGGAGGAGCAGCAGCAGCAGCAGGAGCAGGAGGAGGAGGGACAGGAGGAGGGGGAGGAGCAGGAGGAGGGGGGGGAACAGGAGGAGGGGTGCGGGGCACTGTAGCAGCTCGAGTGGCCCCTCAGCGCCACCCGGAGTTCCTGGCCGGTGCGGTTACCAGCGAGAGCAGGTTCGGCGAGGAGAGCTACAGCGAGAGCGAGAGCACGAACGCCCGGAGCCGCGGCAGGTTCGGTGGAGGTCCGGGAGTGGGCCGCGAAGGCTCGGGGATCGGGCAGAGTATGATCGGGGGGAGCTCGAGAGAGGGTGGGGGGTCTGTTACCTCGTCTATGCTGAAAGGGAGTGTGGGGGCGGGACTGGGGGGGGTGAATTTGAGAGATGGGGGGTTTGTGAGTAGGTATGGGCAGAGCCCGTATCCCAGAGCAGGGGCGAGTGGGGGTGGGGGAAATGGAGCGAAAGCCATACCTCCCGAACCACTTCTTCTGCTAAGGGCAGGGATCTGGACAGGAGAGGTATGGGAGGAGGTATACGGGGAGGTATGGGAGGAGGAATGGGAGGAGGAATGGGTGGAGGGATGGGAGGAGGGATGGGTGGAGGGATGGGAGGGATGGGAGGCGGCATGGGAGGAGGGATGGGAGGAGGGATGGGTGGAGGGATGGGAGGGATGGGAGGCGGCATGGGAGGAGGGATGGGAGGGGGAGAAGTGGATGGGAGGAGAGGGGGCTATCAAGGGGGGTCCCCCCCTCGGATGGCTGCAGGGCAGGCGGTTTCAGCAGCAGCAGCAGCCGCAGCAGCAGCGGCTGCAGCAGCTGCAGCGTCGCAGAGAGCATTGGCAGCCACTTCTGCCGGAGCTGCAGCTATAGCAGGCCGAGCCGAGGCGGTTCGGGAGGAGGAACGGGCCGAGCGGTGCCGAGCCAACGGTCCAGATCAGGCGTTTGGGCAGCAGAGGGATCGAGAGTCGTTGATTGCGTCTAAGATGGAGCTTCAGGAGAGGGCTGTGCAGCGACGGTCCAGATTGCAGGCCCCGCAACGGACGGCTGAGATGGGCCAAGGTGGTGGTGGTGGTGGCGCTCGAAACATGGGATACTGGAACTAAGAATTGTGTAAAGTACCAGTACTTTCTAGTGTGGAAGATGGTGTGCTCCTAGGTAATTTCCATCATGTACAGCTGTCAAATGTTATAGCCCTTAGTGGGTCATACTATATGGGGTACAAACAGATAGGGTTAGGTACTTGTACCCCAACTCAATCAATGCAATTCATTCCGCTGTTCTCAGTTACTAAGATGGTATCAGCAGTAGGTTCGTTGTTCCTAGGCCTTAGTCACCTCCGTTCCTAGTCCTATGCCGTCCCTAGCCAGCGCCCTCGCCCACGACCTAGCTACCGCCCTGGACAACGCCACGCCAGCGCGCACGCCAGCGCGCCACGCCAGCGCGCACGCCAGCGCGCCACGCCAGCGCGCACGCCAGCGCGCCACGCCAGCGCGCCACGCCAGCGCGCACACCAGCGCGCCGCGCCAGCGCGCACGCCAGCGCTCCACGCCAGCGCACCACGCCAGGGCACCGCCAGCGCTGCCCCGCCCGCCAGCCAGCGTGCCGCGTCGCCCGCCGGCCAGCGCGCCGCGCCGCCCACCGGCCAGCGCGCCGTACTGCCCCCCCTGTGCGCCTCTTACACTGCCTCCTCGCCTCCTTGCCTGCGCGCCTGCCCACGTGCCACTGACTGTCTCACCCTCCTGCGGCTGGTAGCCGCGCTCTCTCGTTTTTCGCCCCTTATGGCGACCACTCGAGTACTTCGATTTGACCCTGAGGGGAGACCGATTGATTTTAGTACGTGGCTTACGCAGGCGCAGCGCCACCTTAAGAGCCAGCGGCAGGATGGCGTGCACCTGTTCGCACACGCATCCGGTACTCAGACCGCCCCTCCTCAGCCTAGGCCGCTGCCCACCACCCCGTCGCCTACTCCTGAGCAGGAGGCCGAGTACCAGCGCCAGTTTCTTGCTCGCGACGTGTGGGAGTCTCGTGACGCCGCTGCCTGCCTCGCCCTGACCGACCTTCTCCCACCGACCGAGGTTGTCCACTTCACTCAGGTCGAGTCCGCTGCAGATCTGTATAAGGCTATTGTTGCTCGCTACTCCACTCCCTCCTCTGCCTCACTCAGTCGCCTCCTCGTCCCCTTTATCTACCCTGACCTCGCCTCCTTTGAGACTGTCTCTGACCTCACTGCCCACCTGCGCTCCCTTGACACTCGCTTTCGTGCTGCTTGCACTGAGGACCAGCTTGCCCTTGCCCCGCCCCCTATGTGGCTCACCATTCACTGGCTAGTCACTCGCCTCCCTGACCGCCTAGCCACAGCCCGCGACGCGCTTCTTCTGAAGCATCCCACTGAGCTTACCATCGATCTTCTTGAGACCGCTCTCTCGAAGATCGAGAGTAACCTCCTCGCAGTTGCCTCTGCCTCCTCAGCACCTCCTCCTCGTCTTTTTGAGGGGTGTGCGGTACCACAGCTTCCCACCTTCACTGCCTCCCTTGCCATCCCCGCGTCTTCTGCCTCTGAGGAGACGGCGGCTGTTTCTGTCTCTGGCGGACAGAAACGTGGCAAGGCTAGCAAGAAGGGAGGGAAGGGCGGGGGTACTGGGGGTGGTGTGGGTAGTGGTGGCGGCGGTGGGGCGGGTGGTGGGAGTGGTAGTGGGGGTGGCTCGGGCCCTGACGGTCCTCCTCTCGACGGTGGAGTTATCACTGGTGGTGGGGGGTTCCAGCAGCAGCAGCAGCCGACTTCTCAGCAGCTGCCACAGCTTGGACAGCAGCAGCAGCAGCAGGGACCGCAGCAGCAGCGACAGGGCCAGCAGCAGCGCCCACCGCAGCAGCAGCCTCAGCAGTGGGGGCCTCCGCAGCAGTGGGGCCCTCAGCAGCAGTGGAGGTCTGTGGGTCCCCCGAGCACTGGGCGCAGTGCCCCCCCCTCCAGTCGGGGACCTCGCTCGGCCGGCCGCGACGTTGGTCCCTGTGAGTACTGGATCCTTACGGGTCCTCGACGGGACTCGTACTGTGGCCGCCCCGACCACTCTGCTGCACGCTGCTTCAGTCGTCTCGACGACCTCTACCGTTTGCACCACGGCCCCTCTGCTCCCCCGCCGCCACGCTGGGGGACGCTTCTTGCTTGTGGCATTGCTGTTTTTTATATGACTATGGATGATGCTAGGTCTTATGCCATGTATGCTGATGTTGACTATAGTGCTCCTGGATCTGTGTACTTGCCTGTTGCTAGAGTAGGTGCCAGTGTAGGATCTTGTTTAGCTACTAGTACAGGTACTCCCTCGTCGGGCGCGTCTCTCTCCTTCACACTGGACTCAGGAGCGTCGCACTGCTTCTTCCGCGACTGCACGACTCTCTCTCCGCTACCGGCACCTGTCCCTGTAGCACTGGCCGATCCCTCCTCGGGACCGGTCATTGCGACTCACGCCACTACACTCCCGTGCCCAGCTGCTCCTTCTGGTTCCCTGACCGGCCTCCACGTTCCTACGTTCTCTAGGAACCTGGTTGGTGTGGGCACCCTGGCGAGACAGCACGTCGGGGTCTGGGTTGAGCCTTCTGGTGACACCGCAGTCTGCGTCGACGGTGACACGTACGCCCCCTTGGCCACTTTCCACCAGGAGCCGGGCTCTGGGGCCCCGCCTCCCGCCTTGGCCCTGAGCGGGAGAGTTTCTTTCTGGTGGTCGTTGACGATTACTCTCGGTATACCACCGTGTTCCCCTTGGCAAAGAAGTCCGACGTGACTTCTACGCTGATCCGGTGGCTCCTCGCCACCGAGGGCACTCGTGGTCGTCGTGTCAGTTGTCTCCACTCCGACCGTGGGGGTGAGTTTCGCTCCGGCATTCTCGCCAGTTTCTGTGCTGAGCAGGGCATCACCCAGTCCTGGACTCTCCCAGACTCTCCACAGCAGAATGGGGTTGCTGAGCGCCGCTTAGGCCTGGTCATGGAGATCGCCCGCACCTCCATGATCCACGCCCGCGCGCCCCATTTTCTGTGGCCCTACGCGGCTCGGTACGCCGCTCACCAGCTGAACCTCTGGCCTCGCGTCTCTCGGCCAGGGGCTTCACCGACCAGTCTTTGGACAGGGTCCCCTGGTGTTGCGTTGAGGTTTCGTGTCTGGGGCACCTTGGCTCTTGTCCGCGACACCTCTGCGGACAAGATCTCGCCTCGTGCCGTCCCCTGTGTCTTCCTTGGTTTCCCAGAGGACTCCTCTGACTTCACATTTTACCACCCTCCCTCCCACCGGTTCTTTGACTCTCGTGACGTCCGTTTCGACGAGTCTGTCCCCTACTACGTCAGGTACCCCTGTCGAGGTCTCCCGGTTCCCCCCCCTCCCCTCTTCCTGGCTCCAGCTCCTCCTCCTCCCGCCCCTGCTCCTCCGGTACCCCCCCCTGGTCCTGCTCCGTCTGGTGTGTCCCACGCTACTCCCCCCCCCTCGGTACCCCCCCAGGTCTCTCCTCCTTCCCCACAGTCGTCCTCACAGCCTCCGCAGCAGCCGTCAGCGCTTCCTTTACCGGCCACTGCGGACTCTGAGGGTGTTGGTGCTCGGGGTGAGGGCTCTGGCGGTGCTCGCTCTGGGGGTGCTGGCGTTGGAGCTGTTCGTGCACCTACAGGAGCCGCCCGTTCTGGGGGTGTTGGCGTTGGCGCTGAGCGTGC